CACTTGCCTCGAGTCTGTAGGCACGGGTTGTCTGTAGAAGCCACTGCAGTCCATATATAGGCCTTAGAATCTTACTAGTTATCTCGGCTAGTTTGAGGATCACGTTACTTGTCTTGTGCTATGAAAATAGCCAGGATGTAGCAGTGGCAAATCACATGATACTCAAACTACCCGAGCGCATGAGTAGGATCTAGATATTTAAACTACGAGAAATTTGTTATATGCGCTAATTCTAGCACTAAACTTGTACCCTAATATCTTATTAGAGTGACGACACTCGATGTGATCGCGTATTAATTACCGTACGCCTGCGCCTACGCCTACGCCTACACCTACGCCTGCGCCTGCGCCTGCGACAGCAACTCCTGGAAATGCAGGAACACGCTTGACAAACAGAGTACCTGCATTAGCGCATCCTCTGCCTACATCAAGGCTGTTGTTATCTGCACGCTGTAGGTCCAGGCGCATAAAGCAAGTACATCTGGCGTGTGGTTGGGTCAGAGGGGGGGTGGTTGCAGAAGAGGTCGGTCTTGGGCTGTACTGTAGGTAGCGTGATCATGGTGTTGGTGTCACGTGGGCGTATTGTCTGCTGCATGGCTGTGGTATTCAAGTAGTGTTGTGTTTAAGTAGGGTTTTTTTGAGGGGATTACGAGTGAGTGGTATTATATGGCATTTAGCAGATGTAAAGAAATTATTGGGTTGTTGGTGCAAGTTGTACTTTAGCCAGATATTGTGATGATACGGTATGCAACAGATTTTCTACCTTGGGTAAGTAGACTGGTCATGGATATCTATATGTCGGTGGAAGAAGGATGAGGAGAGCTTTCGTTTGAAGGAAATTGAAATGGACAGTGCACTAAATAAGAGGAGGGGGTTACAGGGCTATTGGGAATTATAAAGGTAGACATATCTAAGGTTGGAAGAACTTCTTTGCTTCAACTAGGGGTCGGCTGAGGGCTGTTGTGTATATTATGAAATTCTGTAAACTACATGGCCAAAATGGTGGAGTTTCACTTCGTGCGTTTTGATAAAAGACATATGGACGAAACTTAGAATGGTCTCTGTGCCACAGTAACAATATCTGATATCTACGAAAGATCTCTAAAAATTATGAGGCATGCTAGCTGACATGATTGTATCCTTGAAAATTATCTGTAATTATAGAGGGATAGTCCCTGACGTGTACTTTGATGACAATTTAAAGTGTAATACAAACACTATCGTTCGATCAAATATGGAATATATTTGAACCGTACAAAGATCCAGTCCAACCAAAAAGACAGCAACTCGTGAGGTTGAGTCAAAGAAAGGGAGCCCGGAGAAACCTTGATCCGCAACGCGTCGATGGCGGGGTGACTCAAAAAGTTCCCCGCCATGTATTTCGCCGTGAAGCCACACGACTCAAATAACGCCAATTAATCGCAAACATGGCAAACGAACAGCCGCCTGCGCAGCCTCAGGCCGAGTCCTCGGAGAACTTGCACACTGATCCCGTGACCGGTGAGAAGATCAGCAAGAGCGAGCTCAAGCGTCGCCAGAAGCAGCGCGAAAAGGACGAGAAGAAGAAGGAGAAGGAGGCGTCATTGCCTGCAAGGCCCAAGAAGGAGAAGAAGGACGATGTTGAGGAATTGAACCCCAATGTATGCTTTTTCCTATTTCATGAATTTTCTGGCATGCTGCTAACGCATCTCAGCAATACTTTGAGATTCGCTCCAACAAGATCAACGCCCTTCGCACTTCCAAGCAACGCACCTACGTAGCGTGACATGGTGCTGGAGCATA